ATTCATTGTCAAATTACCTGCTTTGTCAAAAGTTAACAAGAACCCTGCAGTATACCTTTACTGCTTTAGTACTTATACAGTATACCTTTACATCGAGGCTGTCTCCACAGATGTGTGGACCGGTGATGCCCACTGGCAGCAATAACAAGTCCGCACCTGCAGCTACAGCACACACGCATCTATTGACTATATATAACAACATGGTGCCTAACTCGCCGCCGCACTTTCCACTACTCACCGTTTTAAATCAGTTACAACTCCGGTGTTCCTGCAGGTGACGCCACTTTCCAACTATCGTTGGAATTGCAGAAGACTGCTTAACAAGCTACACCCGCCATTTTTGACAATCGACCCGCCAGAATGCGCTCAAATCACAGAAATTCCTCAAATATCTATGCGAAACGATCCTTCGAATGCTACCAGGTAAAAAGGCGGCAGGCCCAACCACAGCGGCTGCGCTGATTGGCTGCAGCAAGCCTGTCAGCACATTAAACTTGCTGCAGCCAATCAGCGCAGCCACTGTAATTGGGCCTGCCACCTTTTTACCTGGTAGCATTCGAAGGAACGTTTGTGTTATTGTGTATATACACACCTATCGGGTGTAGCTTGTTAAGCAGTCTTCCGCGAGTTCAACGATAGTTGGAAAGTGGAGTCACCTGCAGGAACATCGGAGTTGTAACTGATTGAAAACGGTGAGTTGTGGAAAGTGAGACGGCGAGTTAGGCACCATGTTGTTATATATATAGTCAATAGATGCATGTGTGCTGTAGCTGCAGGTGCGGACTTGTTCTTGCTGCTAGTGGTGATGCCCTGCGGCAACTGTACGCGGGCTATAGTACTTACTAGAGCTAGGTCAGAATTAGCTATAGAACTATAACCCTCCGCTCCGCTTCTGGGCTCCGCTCCTGCGGCGGAGTGGAGGGCTATAGTTCTAGAGCTAGGTCAGAATGTGCATGTGATTCTGACCACGATGATGCGATGTGTGTGTGTGCGCGTGTGTGTGTGTGCGTGCGTGTGTGTGTGTGCGTGCGCGTGCGTGTGTGTGTGTGTGTGCGTGCACGCACACGCGTGCGTGTGCTTATGCGCGTGTATTTCCGATGCTGCCTGGTTAAGCCTGTTTGTGTCATGTCTTGGTCTACTTTGGAAGTAGGACCCCGGTTTGTAAATAGGATTGTACTTAGCATGTTATCCCCTATTACTAGTATTAGTATTATTCGTTATCTTTCCCTGATAACTAAATCTTAATAACGTTTTAGTGCAACCATGTGAATACACCCAGAGATTTGCGTCGCCTGCGGGTAGACGAGGGCAGCCGCATGCGGGCGAGTGCGCGACACGTGGTGCCGGGAGGATCCCGACCACCGCCAGGTGGCGTACGAGTAATACACGGTGTCGAGTAGGAGCACGTCGGCGACGGGTCAGCGCAGTGCACAGAGCGCCCGCAGGCGAAGCCACGCCAGAACGGTGAGTCATGCAGCGCCGTCACGCGGCGAGGGTGTAGTGTGGGCGTCGCGTGTGCACGCCGCACATACATGCATTTGTAGGTGTGCGTGTGTGTGTTGTGTGTGGTCGTGTGGTTGTGTGCGCGCCTGCGTGAGTGTGTGTGGTGGCGTGTGTGTGCGCCTGGTCGTGGCGTTCGTGCTGTGTGTGCGTGCTGTGAGTGTGTTGTGTGCGTGCA